TACATATACATAACGTATACATATGTATGTGTATACGTTATTGAGAACATTAAGGGCGCGTCTTAAAAAGTACAGCTTTAAAATAAAAAATAAAAAAAGTTTAATCTATAGGTCATTTTTTATTCCTTTTTATTTGTTTTAATTCTAATTTAAACAGGCAGCTTTTAAGCTTTTTTCCCGTTTTATTTTTTCTGCTCCATAACGCGTTTTCACCTGATTACTCTGCTTCGGCGGGGTTTTATTTGTGTGTGTGTGTGTGTGTGTGTTGGAGGGGGGGAGGGGGGGGCGGGGGGAAAAAAGGATGGGGCTGACAGAACACGACTATCAGGCTCCAAGCTGCTGTAATAAGAGTTTTATGTGGGGGTCTCAGAGTCCGCTCATATGAATGCGTTTCAAATCAAATCACAGATGCACTTTTATTCACTCGGTTAAAACAGCAGAACAAAACAGTCTATAGAAATAAAGCTTTTTTTATTATTCTTTTTGAAGGCGACGGTGGGACACAGAGAAAGGCTGGGGGGCTACGGGGGGGCTCCCTCGCAGCTGAGGGTGTCAGTTCATGGTTAACAGGATCAGGAGTGCACGGTGCGGGCCGCACACTTCTCCATGTGCGCGCCGAGCTGCGGCTGTGCGCAGACAGTGATATTTAACACATCTGTTAAAGCGTTTTGATAGCAGAAATCCCTTTAAGACATTACTCCATGACGAAGGCCAGATTGAGTGTTGAGAATCCCATGAAACCCTAAAACGCATTTACATGCGAGGTTCTGCACGGAGGGTTTATAGGGTCTTTTAATTCAGCACTTTGTTTACTTTAAACAGGTTGTTGGAATCGTTACATAATTGCATGGAAACGTAATGAAGCATCTTTCTGACCCTGCATAAGTGCATGAAGAAAACACTTTACAAAGTTTAAGGCAGGAGTGTAAAGATTGTTCATCCACTGGCCGCGTTGCTTTCACCACAAACACAAACAGAAAGAAAGAAAGTGGTTCTCATTGTCTCTGCTGCCTCATCAAGTCTCATACAATCATAAATTGCGTCCTGCAGCCAATCAGCGGGCCGGGGGACGCAGCGTGAAAGCGACCCATGTGGAGAACTTTGTACAGCTCCATTGTGGAGGGGGAGCGGGGGGGGGGGGGGGTTAGTATAAGTCTCTTCTCCCTGAGGAAGGCAGAGCATTTAGCCATACTGACTCCCTCTCAGCTGACACGCGGAATTATCTCTGACTTTTCATCTCTCCTCCGAAGCTGGGACCATGATGATCCCAAGTGTCCTCGCGCCCCCGGCCTTCTACCCGGGGCTGTACCGGCCCGCCGCGGCCCTGCCGCTGCACCACGCGCTGCCCGCCGCCTTCCAGAGCCACTCCAGCTTCCTGGTGGAGGACCTGCTCCGGATAAGCCGCCCCGCCGCCTTCATGAACCGGACCGTGGCGCCCGCGAGCGCGCCCCTGGCCCCCGCCACCACAACAGGGTCCTTCAACGGAGCATCCACGGAGCGCGCGCCTGCCGCGGTGACGCGCGAGTCCTGCTCTCCTAAAACCTCTGTCCTGAACGGCAAAGATCCAAGTTTTCTCAAATTCGGAGTGAGCGCCATCCTCGCGCCGTCGCCAAAAACAGGTGAGTGATGACGTCACTTTGAGCAGTTTGTTTCCTCCTCGTCCAGGAATGATTTTAACATTTGTGGTGTTCCCCCAGCAGCTTCCCCCCCTCCTGCGGTCCACTGCCTGCAGTCCAAGACCTTCCCCGTCCCCTGCTTTGACGGAACCTTCCACCCCATATTCAGAACACCTTATCTACCAGGTGGGTGCAGCTCTGATGGCCCCCTCCTTCACGGTCGTTAGAACCCTGTCTGAGCTAATTGCATTTAAATGTAAACCACTGTCACTGCTGTCATATATTTGAGCTGAAATAGAAGAAGAAAAGGGGCAAACAGCCAGAAAAGAAGAAATCACTGTCTTATTAATGGGGACCGCTGCTCTGGCCCCTGCCAGGGCCAACACACCCACCCCCTAATTAAACAATTATCCCAAATCGTCACGCTCTAAATTTGAGGCGGGGTAGCGAGTTATAGTCCCCTTGCTTCCCATTGGGGGGCGTTTTGGCATTTCCCCGGCCCTCCGTTTTTCCCACAGGACCCGGGGGGGACCACCGGGCCGCTCTGACGGCAACAAAGCCCCCCAGCACCGTGACCAATGTGGTCAGCTCCCACCGGGTGAACCACCCACATACCCAGGAGAGTGACTTTTACCAGGCGGGCCAGAGGCGTGAACCAGTCATGCACTAATTTCCCATTAGGAGCTATTGATGTTGTCAATATTCTCACAAGACCACATGGTGCGGCGTTGTTCCCGATTCTGCTGCGGCCACAGGGACCAGGAAGTCCAGTCCGCGCACTGCGGGGTGGCCAGGTGTCCAACTCCGAGGGGCCCAATGTGCCCCACCTGGGAAAAGTCCGTTCTCTCGCCTCATTCTGTAGGATATGGTTACCACTGACCCCCCACCACTCCTTTACCTCTGTGCCCTAAACGTTCCTGTATTCTCTGACCAAACAGTGAAGGAGTTGAAATAAAGAATAATCCCTTATTAAAGTCTATAAAGTCGCTGTCCGGGCTTTCATTCAGACAAACCAGAATGGAGATGGAGTCTTTTCATGAGCTCAGCTGAATGCCTCCACAAAACAACTCCAGCGCCTTCAATAGCTTTTCGTGTTCATTTAATGAAAATGATTTGAGGGCAAGAAGTGGAAGGGGGGGGGGGGGGGGGGACTGCTTCATTCCCCTCTCCTGCTCACTCCCCCCGCCGGGCATCAGTATTCTGGTATGCAGTTGTGTTTAGTTTGAAAGTGTAAATCTCCTTTTGTTGCGGTAATATATGGCCTTCGCCGCCTGTCCAGAGTCTTTTCTGCGTTAGTTCATTACTACACAATTACTGTTCACGGTTTATTAACTCCTCTGTCCGCCCTCACAGGGTTCCTTTAAGGGTTCGCTACCTCTTTACCATACCAATGCGGCTGAGGACCGGCCAATGTGCTAATTAGTCACCTCGTGCCATTTCACTCACACCCGAGGCGGTGCTGCTCAGTTTAAAATTAGATAACTCCAGATCTAATCGGGTTTAAGTTTTAATATTGGGTTTAGGAGATTATTATTATTTTAAATTCCAATTATGTTTGCTTTGCAGCATCTTCTTCCGTGGTTCCCATCCCCGGGACTTTCTCGTGGCCCCTGGCCGCCAGAGGAAAACCTCGCAGAGGGATGCTGAGGAGGGCGGTGTTCTCCGACGTCCAGCGCAAAGCCTTGGAGAAAATGTTCCAAAAGCAGAAATACATCAGCAAGCCCGACAGAAAAAAACTGGCCTCTAAGCTGGGCCTTAAAGACTCGCAGGTAAAACTTCTTCCTGGTGTTTTTAAACGCGTCAGTGGCTGCGCGTAATTTATGCGTAAAGCTCCTGTTGCGCACGACGCAGAACCTCTCCGCTCAGTGTTCTCTCCCCGTCTGCAGGTGAAAATCTGGTTTCAGAACCGGAGGATGAAGTGGAGGAACTCCAAGGAACGAGAGCTGCTGTCATCCGGGGGGTGTCGGGAACAGACATTGCCCACCAAAGCCAACCCACACCCGGACCTGAGCGACGTGGGCAAGAAGTCCTCCGCCGAGGAAGAGGAGGAGGAAGAGTTCGGAAGAGAGAGGATGAGGGCGGCAGGGTGCAACCTTTCTTCTCCCTCTCTTTCCAGTAAGCACTCGGATTTCTCAGAGTCAGACGAAGAAGAAATAACAGTGTCTTAATTATTGTCCTTAAGATTTATTATCTACAAGTTGTTTTCTGTGACTGTGACCAGATGTTGTAAAAAGCTGCTCCCTGATGCAAGAACTCATGTCTGAACAGAAAAGATAAAAAGGTGCTGTGCTGGACGGGTTCTGATTCAGATACAGTTTGCTGTTTTGCACAGCTTTGCTAAAATGTACAGTATTTTGTACAAGTTTGTATGGAAATTAAATGCCAAGATTATTAAGTTACTTTAGCCTTAATGTTGAAAAGCTGTTTATGAGAAAAAGTAGTTATTTTTAATTTATATGAATGTGTTTTATAAGTATGCTGTATATATGTACATCTCACTCGTTTTGTACAAACGCCAAATAAAATGTGAAAAAAGTTCAAAGTGAAATGTGTTTGGTGGCTTCAGCACATCAACGGCGAACACAAATTCTGTTATAAATAATTAATAAATTTATTGAATCACAATAACTTAAGACTACAGTGATATCAGGTTCGATTCTCCGAGCCGCGGGTGAGCAGACACGTTACAAACCAAATCATTTTCTCTGCTGAGAAGAGACTTTACACAAAATATTCAAGTATCGTACCAAATTGGCTAGAAAAAGTCATAAAAATCCTGCAAGACCATCAAACTATTTACACAGTTGTATGTTACATATAAAAAATGTACATGGCTATGAAAGCTAAACATTCGTCGAGTTCGTCAAATGCTTGGAGCAACATTCACACCCCTCGGAGCAGAAACCCTCTTTGTGCTTGAAAACACGGGAGCAGGTGGGCGTTATGGAAACAAGCATGTCTGGCATCATGCAAAACATTTGAAGGTAGCTGAAAACTATCAGAATGAAGATTGCATAGGATCAGTGAGAAAACAAAAACATTGAAAGGACCACTTTTCTCTCTAAACATCTCTTTTCTGAATAAAGTCTTGACGAGATAAAGAAAAACAAAAGGACCATAACTTTAAAATACAAAAAAAGTCATTATCATTTCATCACAAGTACCTTTATAACTCTTAATTATATTAACAAAGCAGCGCTAATGTTAGTTTTCACTTAATTGGTTCAACATGTTAGAACTTTTGTTCACACAATCAAAATATAAATGTAGCAACAACGCAGAATTAAAAGATGCTAAAAAAATCAAATAAAATAAAAAACACCTTTTACTTTCCTCGCACACAGATAACCCCAAACAGGGTTCTGATTTCAAGCACCGAAACACAGTTAAAGTTTTTTTTTTTCATTCGAGCAGGTCAAAATATTTACAGTCTTCTTACTCATGCAAAAGAACAAAAGAAAACGACCGCGTCTCGTTCACGTCTCGACCTCACGGCTTCTGTGGTTGATATGAGAGGTGGTCGGCGGTCCTCGACCACTGCGGTGGCTTCGAGGAGTCGACTCTTAGCCCTGTTCCATTTACAGCCGCTTCAGCTAATTATCAGCTAATTATCAGCTAATTATCAGCTAATGCACATAGTCTGGTAAAAAAAAAAAAAAAAGAGTAAGGCAAGGTTTGTTTAGATTCAGTCCAGCACCAAAAGGAGAACTGTGCTACAACAGCCTGCGTGGGCCAAAAACATATTTTATGAGTAAAAAAAAAAAAAATACCTGGAAGTTTGCAGGGACGTTGTTTGGTAAACATGAAAATATTAAAAGGATAAAAATCAAAGGAAATGCTAATTTATCAGTCAGCGCCGTTTCCTTCATATAATTAAGCTGATTTTGCTCATTTAAAAGTACTTATACACGTGTGCTTTTTAATCATTTTATCTGACGTTCTTGTTTTAACATGCACAGGTCAGAAAACCTGTGTTCACTTTCAAGTTTATAACCAACTTCGTGGCGTGATCTGGATACGCTGAACTCCGTCGAAGCTCAGGAGAAATCTGCTGGAACTGAAAGTACGAGGCTGAGTAACTTGTCAGGCCATGAAGTAAACGGCAGAGTTTTTGGGACGGGTGCGATCGCATCCGCAAGTATTTAGCACAGAGTTTGATTTCTACAGGACGAGGTCACGACAAATGTCATTTCACAGCACCTAATGTTAAACGGGAATTAAAAAAACCCAGAGGGTCTGTAAAAACCATGGCAACCGAGTACGTATTAGTTATAGCTGGTGGGGTTTTATCACAAATATGGTGGCAGTTTTGCTACAGTACACAAACAGAAACTCAGCGTTCAGTTTCAATACAATTCAGACGTAAATGGAACTGATCTGTTCGCTGTAAAATGATGACACCGTCGCAGGATTTAGAATGGTACACAGATGTTCTGGACAAGACAACTGACTGACGATGGCCCACACCTTCACATCAGCTCCATGTATCCACAAAAAGTCAGACAGACTGAGCTGTGAAGGTTGGATGTTCATCCATCCACTCATCCATCCTGTAGCAGGTGGTTGCTCCAGAGGACAGCATCGCCACCTGCAGGCCGCTCTGGTGCCACGCAGCAGACGCTGCAGCCCAGCGGAGGATGAAGAACACCTGGCTTGTGTTTCAGTGAACCAGGTGCCGCCTCACCAACATGGACAGGCTGTGTGCTTCCTCTGTCTGCCTGAAACAGGCGTTAGCTCCTGATAGAGGAGCCCCCGGCCACAGCGGTGAAGGTAAAAGGCAGTGCTCTGGAAACATTTGTTGCTCTCTTTACTGGAATCCAGTTGGATATTGTTCCTCTTAAATATTTGGGTTACCTGCACCCAAACAAGGTGGCTACATTTTGTGACCAAAAAAAAAAAAAAAAAGAAGAAGTTATTTTAAAAATGATTTTGAAAGCATCACAGAGTTGACTCCAGCGACGAGTCCAAGATGTCGTCATGGTGACTGTTGCTGTTGGAGTCACTGTCGTAGCTCTGCGGGCTCGACGACGTCGCCGCTTCTTTCAGACGCATCAGCATGTTCATCTGTTGGCGGAAATGACATCACCGTATTCTGTTTCACTGCTTCCTGTTGAATTAGCATTTCACAGGGAGGGCGTTTGTTTTACTCACCAGTGGGTCCGCATCACTGTCGCTCTGCGGCAGCTCCTTCCTGGCTCCTTCTCTCGGTGCGGAGTAGCCGTCGAAGCCCACGTCTTCCGGGCGGAGCTGCAGCAGGGGGGGCCACTCACCCGGAGGCGGAGACGATGACCATGGGTAGGTGTCAATCACCCAGGCTGCTGGGTCCTCCCACGCTGCCCTGCGGCCGTACAACTGTAGACACAAAAAGTCAGACCATGCTTTGGTTTTAACAGAGTATCTGAAGCAAACACTTCAAATGTTGCCTTAAAGTTGTTTCCATTCTATGCGACTTGGTTCTGGTATCTACTCTCTGCTCTCCTGTGTATGTTTACTGGACCCAGTTTCTGGATTTTCCCCCCACGGACCACGAACAGCACCAATCTGCTCCGCTGCTGCAGCTCACTCTGCACGAGTGACGCCACCAGCACCAGTGCCAGTACAGCACCTGCCACGTACAGACTGGGGAGGTTAGTGACTAATCCCAGCACAGTCACTAACCTCGCTCTCTTAACAGACTGGACCCCCGCCTGGATCCAGACCTCCACCAGAAGCTGTTTTAAAAATAAACTGTTTTTATATATATATAAAATATATATATAAAAACATATATATATATATATTTTATATATATATATATATATATATATATATATATATATATATAATCGTGTCATCTGGACCTGTTTCTTTAAGTGAGAAATCTTTCATCCCCCATCCAGAGGACTTCCTCAGTCTACAACCTGCCAACCAGATTTGTCCCATAAGTAGCCTTCACTGTTGTGTTTCAAGCTAACTTCCTGTTGGAATCACAGAAGAAGACTTTTAATAAGTGCAAAACACATCCATCCAAAACAATCAATCATCATGTACAATAATCAAGTGTTTTAGTCCAGAGGACCCACTTGCTACTCACAGAAACAGTCTGAGGACAGCCAAGGCCAAAGTGGTTCTGAAAAAGGGTTGTTGTTTGGGTTTTAGTTATCTACCTGGATGATTGAGCTTACAACCCTTTTTCTGAACCACTTTGGCCTTGGTTGTCCTCAGACTGTTTCTGTGAGTAGCAAGTGGGCCCTCTGGCCTAAAACATTTGATTGTTGTACATGATTGATTGTTTTGGATGGATGTGTTGTGCACGTGTTAAAAGTCTTCTTCTGAGAGTCCAACAGGAGGTTGGCTTGAAACACAGCAGTGAAGGATACCTATGGGACAGATCTGGTTGGCAGGTTGTAGACTGAGGAAGTCCTCTGGATGGATGATGAAATGTTTCTCAATTAAAAAAACTGATACAGATGACACGGTTTAACCTTTTTTGTTGTTATGTAGAAACAGTCTACAAAGAAAAAAAAACATCTGATAATATTTGTTTTTAATGAAACCAACAAACTTTCGTTTCAACAGATCTTGTGCTGCTGCTTCGTCTTTGTAGCACCTAGACTTTGTAATGTGGATTTTCTAGGACCTTTATTGTGATATCGACTAAGACTACGGTACGCCTGTTTTAGTGACTAAAATCAGAATAGGTCTTGTCAGCTCTCCCTTCTGCTCACTGATAACCAGAGCTTCACCAACTGATTAAATCACATCAAACTACACGCAGGAGAAGTAATTCTTCTGTTTGGCTTCGATCAACCAAGTCTGATCAGTTCCACAACTTTTATTGTGGCATTCACACTTTAGTGATTCACTTTTTATTCCGTATGTTTTTCATCATCTAACTACTCCCACAGTTTTTGTGCTATTTCAACAAATCATACATCAAAACATTCAGCTGTTTCAGGACATGTCTGCTATGACTTTTGGTCTTGGTGCAACTTTAGCTTTTTGAGACATTTAGCCTTTTCTGGCATATTTGCTCTCATTGAAAATGAATGGAGCTCATTTTACATCCTTCATAACTTTTGATTCGTTTAGAACCTGGTACTACTACTTTCACATTTAGACCTGGTTATGGTTCTTTCAGATTCCTTGCACAAAATTTTAAACAAAATTCAGCTAGTTCAGCTAATTTCAGCTGTTTTTTCAGCTGTTTTGTGGTCCTTTCAGCTTCATTCTGCTAACATCAACATTTTTATGCTTCTTCAACCATATTTATGCTAATTTATGCTTGTTCTGCTCCTTTCAGCTTATTTCTGGATGTTTTAGCTATTTCTGCTATTTCAGCTAGCATTAGCTGTTTTCATGCTAATTTAATCTTTATCAGCTAATTCTACGTTTTTTTGCAATCATAACTTTTGTCAGCTTAATTCAGCAAAAACATGTTCCTCTGACATCCTACTAGTAACTGAAGCTCCTTTCTGCTTGTTTTAGCTACTATTTAGATGTTTTTCTAGCAAATTCTAGCTTTTCGCAGATAATTTCAACTTTATTGAGCTAATTTCTGCCTGTTTCAACCATAGTGGGCACACTTAAGCTTCCTCCACTTCCTTTTGGAAATTTAAGCTTCTTTCTGCATTTGTTTAGCTACTATTCAGCTGTTTTATAGAGAAACTAGAATAACTCTACCATTTTTAGAGCTATTCAGATGAAACTTGGCATATTGGTAGATGATAATTATCCCTAATAGACTGAAAAAAAAAATTCAGCTAGTTCAGCTAATTTCAGCTGTTTTTTCAGCTGTTTTGTGCTCGTTTCAGCTTTATTCAGCTTACTTCAACATTTTTGTACTTCTTCTAACTTATTTCTGCTAATTTCAGCGTGTTATGCTCTTTTCAGCTCATTTTGGAAGAATCAGATATTTCTGCTATTTCAGCTATTTAGCTGTTTTATGCTAATTTCAGCTTTTTCAGCTAATTGCATTTTTTTTTTTAAATCAATCCAACTTTTTTCAGCCTAATTCAACAAAAGCATGCTCTACCCACTTCCTTCTGGTAATTTAAGCTTCTTTCTGCTTGTTTTAGCTACTATTAGGCTGTTTTTGTCCAATTTAAGCCTTTTTCAGGTAATTTCAACTTTATTGTGCTTATTTCTGTTTATTTCAGATTTTTGAAATTTCAGATTGTTTCAGATATTTCAGATTATGCTCCGTTGTGCTTATTTCTGCTAATTTCAGCTTTTTTGCTATTTCAGCTACTATTTAACTGTTTTATGCTAATTTCAGGTTTTTCAGCTAATTCCACATTTTTTTTAAAGTCAATCCAACTTTTTTCAGCCTAATTCAGCTAAATCATACTCTATCCACTTCCTTCTAGTAACTTTAGCTTATTTCTGCTTGTTTTAGCCAGTATTCTGTTGTTTTTATGAAATTTCAGCTTTTAAAAACTGTTTGCGCTCATTTTTCTTCTTTCAGCCTAATTGGGCAAACTTGTTGCTCTTTCTGCTTCCTTCTGCTAATTTAAGCTTTTTTTATGCTTCTTTAGCTACTATTCAGCTGTTTTAAGATAATTATTGAGCAAAAGGCATTCACACGTGCATTTTTGCAGGAAATGCAATTTCTCTAGTTTTATTTATTGTTAGCTACAAATATTGACTCACCTACAAATATCCAGAGGACGTTATTTTAGTCCATCCATCCATCCATTATCTTTACCCATTTATTCCATTTTGGGTCACGGGGGTCGCTGGTGCCCATGTCCAGCAATCACTGTGCGAGGGGCGGGGTACACCCTGGACAGGTCGCAAGTCCATCACAGGGCCACATAGAGACAAACGAGACAAACAACCATTCACTCTCTCACTCACACCTAGGGACAATTTAGAGTTACCAATCAGCCTAACATGCATGTTTTTGGTCTGTGGGAGGAAACCGGAGTACCCGGAGAAAACCCACGCATGCACGGAGAGAACATGCAAACTCCTCCCAGAAGGACCCTGGACTGGAGTTTGAACCAGGGACCTGTTCACTGAGAGGCAGCAGCTCTACCAGTTGTGCCACCGTGCTGCCCACGTTATTTTAGTGTTTTATATCAATAAAAAATAAATAAAATTCACCACCAACATTAAACTCTTTAAATAAGACATTGTGTGTTTTAGCTACCTGCAGTCCCTCGCGCACAGCCTCAAGCATGTAGGGGATGATTGAGTAATTCCAGAGATCGGTGAACCAAACCCTGGATCCCTCCACATCCATAGGACATGACAGAAAGAGACGGGGTCCTGCATGTTACAGCGCCAAGAGAGGAAAAAGTGCTCACATACATGTTTTATGACTGTTTAAGGATTTCTCTTCCCTGGCATGTTTCCTCACCAATGGTGACATCAGAGGAGCTATGAGTCTCCAGGAATCGGTTGAGGTGGTGCCAAACCCGTGGAACCCAGTCGATGATCTTCACCAGCTCCATGCTGCGTGTCCGGCTGCCAATTTCCATCTCAATCAGCTTCCTTCTCAGGTAGCGACCGAGAAATCCTTTGACCGGCTCCATGTGGTTGGCACACAGAACCCACCTGGGTGGAGAACACACTGGTCGTAAAATAAGACGCAAAACGTGAAGAACTCCAACGTAAGGAGCCGTTTAGAGTCGGAGAAGGTGATTCATGGCAGTTTACCTGAAGTTGTGGTGAAGCTGCAGATTAGGGGACGATGACGTGGCTTGGCTCATGGTGCCGATAATGTAAGGACTAAAAAACACATGAGAACTCATGATGAGGACCTTAAATCACCGAACAGATGGCATAAAAGTGTAACATTTGGCAAAGTTGCTGGTTGGACTCTTGTTTCCATTTAGAAAGTGTGAGACTGGGAATAAAACAAAATGCATCGAGGTGAACATGAATGGATCAAAAGGCAACTGGACTTCTTCTGATTCCCAAAGAGATTTATTGATATTTAATCTAATTCAAATTATCAACTCAAAACTGAACGGCATCAACATCATCATCACTTCTGATAAAACTCTTCATCTTTCAGCTTCAAACTAAAAATAAATGTCAAATGAAAAAAAGGAAACGTCTTTGAGAAACTAAAGCATCTCAGATGCCTTTGATTCAGTTTGTCGCTACATGTAAGTGATGAAAATGAAAACCTTTCCGTCAATAAATCTATAATGCAAATGTCTATTTTTTGGGGCCAAGATGGATTAGAGGCAGCCAGCCATTCCCACATGTCGTGGTGTCTCTGAGCAAGACACCCAATCCCTAATTGCTCCCCAGCTCTTACATAGCTGCACACTGCTCCACCTGCGTGTATCTCAGGTGTGACGGGTGAAATGCAGAGAACTAATTTTGCCATTTGGAAACATATAATGATGACAATCTCAGACTCCCCCCTTCATTTTCACTCCTAATGAATGATGAATGCATTCATCGACATTCATTTGTATGTGTTCATCAATTTTATTTTATTTTATTTATCCTTTATTTATTCAGGTAGTCTCATTGAGTCACGAGAACTCATTTTCAAGACAGACCTGTGGGAGCAGATGGTGGGGGTTAAGGGCCTTGCTCAAGGGCCCAGGGTGGGGCAGATGAGGGAGGATGCAGGTGTGGGTGTTTCACCTTTTCCAACCACTTTTTAATGTAGTCAGTCTGGAGAGTTGAACCTGCAACTTTCCAATCACAGACCCGTCTTCTCTAACCTCTGCGCCACCACTCCCCGACCACCACCCACCCTCCCATCCAAATCTGAGGCCATGGTGCTCAGTCAGAAAAGGGTGGATTGTTCTGTTTAGGTCATGGTGGGGTTTTGTCTCAAGTGGAAGAGTTCAAGTATTTCTGTGTTTTGTTCTCAAGTGAGGGGTATGAGATTGACGGACTGATTGGTGCAGCGTCTGCAGTACTGCGAACTCTGTACCGGTCCGTTGTGGTGAAGAGGGAGCTGAGCTGTAAGGCAAAGCTCTCCGTTTACTGGTCAGACTACATTCCCACCCTCACCTGTGGTCATGAACTCTGGTAAGGATGCTCCCTGGTTGCCTCCCTAGGGAGGTGTTTCAGGCATGTCCAATTGGGAGGAGATCCCAGGGAAGACCCAGGACACGCTGGAGAGACAATGTCTCTCAGTTGGACTGGGAATACCTTGGAGTCCTCCCAGAAGAGCTGGAAGACGTGACTTTGGAAAGAGATGTCTGGACCTCCCTGCTCAAGTCCCTGAGACCCGACTTCAGAGCAAACAAAAGAGGATGGATGGATAGATGTATGTATGGATGGATGAAAGGATAGATGGATGGTATGGGAAGCCCTATCATCCTAAAGATTGTCTTCATAATAAGGTATGAAACAGATAACGCTGTTTTCTGTGTTTGTGAGAGACGATGCAGAAGGATGAGTGTGAACTGACCTGTGCTGGTAGTTGCAGTTGAAGAGGCCATTGAAGATCTCTCCCAGGGAGCTGACGTGGTGGAGGTTGTCCAGAATGACCACCAGAGGGCTCTCCTCTCCTGACACCCCGCTGCACTGCTGAGCCAAACCTGACAAGTACTGACGGAGCTCCTGGAGACACAGACAAAGCTTCATTTACCTCCAGATTGTTTAAACGCTTTCATCTCCTTCACAAAGTCCATCCTGAAATGTTCGCTGTAACCACGACAGTGCAGTTTTACACAAGTTTCACTTGAGTTCAATTCAGTTATACAGAAACATTTTTCAGGACTGAAACAAAGACGCTGTGTGTTTGTACTTTGCTAGACTTGTGGTCCACGTTGAAAGTGACAACAGCATTTGGGGTCGAGGGTCGGCCCTCGAGCTGCAGCAGGTGTTGAGACAGCTGGTTGGCCAGGTAGGTCTTCCCTGTACCACTTGGGCCTGAGAGGATGACCCGTCTGTGCTCCTTAAGCAGGGAGATGTAGCGCTGCAGCATCGGCTTTGGGATCAACGTGTCGAACACCAGCGAGTCCACGTTTTCACTGTTTGCACCTGGACACAAACATTTATTGATCATGAAGTGTTCACAAATGTCCTAAAGTCTGTTTTAAAACCCTCTGTCTCAATCAGCTGATCTTTGTGTCTTTTGATGTCTGCTAAGTGGATTTTACGTATTAGTGTTGATACATTTATTTCACTTGTTGGTTTAATTTAAACTTGACTACAAAAGATACCTTGTGTTTTCAACTAATAGTCTAAAACCCAAAGATATTTATTTCATTAGGAACAAAAAGTTGTGTTATTTGATAAGCATACATGGAGAAAAGACAGAGTTTCAATTTAAAATGCTGCTTTTAATCTTCTTGGTGCTAGTTTAAACCAGAACAGATCTGTGTTCTGCAGCGTGGAGAGCTTTAGCACCTTTCAGCTGGATGTTAATGGTGTTGTCTCCCACCAGGTAGCCGCAGGGCAGCAGTTCGGGCGTGCTGGCCATGCTGGGTCGATGGATTTCTCCAATGTTGTAGCCCTGCACACTGTCTGTGCTCAGGCCCAGCTGGCTCACCGGGTCCACGTGAGTAATGTACTCCTGCAACGGATTAAAACTCGAATCTTAACAAGTTTCTCAGGTGAATCCAAATATGCTCTTCTCTGTGATGTTTCAAAGAACAATGGTAGTTGTCACAGTGGAAGTGAAACAACAAATCACAAGTTAAAGGTGGAGGAAGAGATCAGTTAAGAAAACAATTGTTGTTTGTTTTAAATAGCCTTTATTTACCTTAAAAAGGCGTCGGACCACTCCATCCAGCACGTCCCACTTGGTTTTACCGCTCACACCAATGCAGCCAATCAGAAAATGACGAGGTCGGCCCTCCTGTAAAGAAAAACAAACATACAAAGGTTTTGGTCTGGTCTGGGAAGCTCAGTCCTCACCTCCTCCTACAGAATCAGAGTCAGAGTTTCTTTATTGTCATTCGCACCTCATGTGGTACATGTGGTGGAGCGAAATTATGTACACGGGGTCCCAGTTACATCCAACAATAAAATGTATAAGAAAAACAGTAATAACATCTAAGATATGAACTAAGAAAAACATCAACTAAATATACACTAAGCACTCATAACATAAAAACATTGAACATCAGCACAAACATGAACATGAGTCTGTGAGCAGATGTGCACGCATGAACACATCAACATTGAAACAGATCAGCAGCAACATGAAACAGATCAGCAGCAACATGATATGGTTTTTCACAGTGATTATTCTAGTTAGAGATTCATGAGTCTAACAGCCTCAGGGTAGAAGCTGTTCCTCAGTCTAGTGGTTCTACACTTAATGCTCCTTAACCTCCTTCCTGAGGGGAGTGGGGCAAAAAGTGTGTGTGCTGGGTGAGTGGGGTCCTTCATGATGCAGGTGGCCCTCTTCCTGCATCTGGAGGTGTAGATGTCTGTGATGGTGGGGAGACTGATTCCGACAGATTTCTGTGCAGCCTTCACCACTCTCTGCAAAACTTTTCTTTCTGCAGCTGTGCAGCCTCCATGCCACACGTTGATGCTGGAGCACAGGATGCTCTCCACTGCACACCTGTAGAAGGAGGTGAGGACTGAGCTTCCCAGACCAGCTCGCCTCAGCCGTCTGAGGAAGTAGAGTCTCTGATGAGCTTTCTTGATCAGGCTGGTGGTGTTGTTGCTCCAGCTGAGGTTGTCATTCATGTGTACACCCAAGTACTTGTAGCTGGAGACCACTTCCACTGCAGATCCTCTTATGTTCAGGGGGTGTAGATGTTTTTGTTCCTTCTGAAGTCCACAATCATCTCCTTTGTCTTCTTCACATTGATGTGAAGGTTATTCTCTTTGCACCAGCTCTCCAGGTGTTCCACCTCTTGCCTGTAGCTGGACTCATCATTGTTTGTGATGCATCCCACCACCGCTGTATCATCTGCAAACTTTACAATGTGACAGCCTGGATGGGTAGCTGCACAATCATACGTGAGCAGAGTAAACAGGAGGGGGCTCAACACAAATCCCTGAGGAGAGCCAGTGCTGAGGGTTATGGTGGAGGAGGAGAGGTTGTGGATCCTCACTAACTGTGGTCTGTTTGTTAAAAAGTCTAGTACCCAGTGGCAAATGGAGGGGCTTAGTCCTAGTGTGGATAGTTTGTCCATCAGTGTTTGGGGGATCATGGTGTTGAAGGCGGATGTGAAGTCCACAAAGAGCATACGGACGTAAGAGTTTTTCTGCTCCAGGTGGACACCACTACAGGTGTGCAGTGGAGAGCATCCTGTGCTCCAGCATCAACGTGTGGCATGGAGGCTCCACAACTGCAGAAAGAAAAGCTTTGCAGAGAGTGGTGAAGGCTGCACAGAAGACTTTTGGAGTCAGACTCCCCACCATCACAGACATCTACACCTCCAGATGCAGGAAGAGGGCCACCTGCATCATGAAGAACCCCACTCACCCAGCACACACACTTTTTGCCCCGCTCCCTCAGGCAGGAGGTTGAGGAGCATTAAGTGTAGAACCACTAGACTGAGGAACAGCTTCTACCCTGAAGCTGTTAGACTCATGAATCTCTAATCAGAATAATCACTGTGAAAAATCACATCATGTTGCTGCTGATCTGTTCCATGTTGCTACTGATCTGTTCCATGCTGCTGCTGATCTGTTTCATGTTGCTGCTGATCTGTTCCATGTTGCTGCTGATCTGTTTCATGCTGCTGCTGATCTGTTTCATTTGCTGCTGATCTGTTCCATGTTGCTGCTGATCTGTTTCATGCTGCTGCTGATCTGTTTCATGTTGCTGTGTTCATGCATGCTCATCTGCTCACACAGACTCATGTTCGTGCTGCTGTTCGGTGTATTGTTTTACACTAATAGTGCTTAGTGTGGTTTTAGTTCATGTTTTTCTTAGTTCATATCTTAGATCTTATTATTGTTTTTATTTTACATTTTATACTTTTGTTGGATGTAACTTGGACCCTGTGTACACAATTTTGTTCCACCTCATGTACCACATGTGCTATGAATGACGAATAAAGAACCTTGAATCCTTGAAAAGCCCACATGACCACCACCACACTTTCCATCAGAATGAAGTGGCCTCACCTCCTCCCACTTGTCCTCATCCAGACTGACGACGATCTTCACGTGTCGCCCCTCCTTCCTCATGCCTCCTTCTCCACCCGTGTCGTCCAGCAGCATGTCTGACGGGAAAAAAAAGCAAGGTTTTTACATTCGTCACCATTTCGCCATTTTACTTGTGGTTCCTAGAGTTTCCAAAAGCAGAATGGGAGGCAGATCTTTCAGTTATCAGGCCCCTCTTGTGGAACCAACTTCCAGTTTCTGTCCGTGAGGCTGACACATTATCCAGTTTTAAGACTGGATTTAAGACTTTCCTTTTTCATAAATCCTATAGTTAGAGTTGGCTTGGGTTTCCTGAGCTATCCCGTAGTTATGCTGCTATAGGCTTAGACTCCTGGAGGACAAACCGACCACATTTCCTCACTCTGCTGCTGTCTTTACTTATTCTGCTCAACCTGTTTGTTTTATCAGTAGAAATGATTTCTATCCTTAACATGTTTTTTGTCTTTCCTACTAAAGAAAGTTCATCTGGACCTGCCATTCTGTGTTTGTTGGTGCCTGCCATGCAATTATTCTACCCCTCGGAAGTGAGTCTACATTTCTATCTCCGTTAATGCGGCCTGAACCACAATGTCTACCCCCACAAAAGTTATATCAAAACGACCGGCTCGGCCCCGTGATGTGTGCTATTACGTTTATTGGCATTTCGCGTTACCATGGCGACGTATTTTGCAAACAAAGATGCAATATTTCACCAACTCCAGGAACTAGTTGGTGACTGCTCACTTATTAATCTACACCAGATAAGCGTATCTTTTTCAACTTTAATGTGGCCCAAAACACAACGTGGACCTTCACAAAAGTTATATCAAAATGACCGGCCCGGCTCTGAGATGTGTGCTATTACTTTCATTAGCAATTGAAGTTACCATGGCGACATATTTTTCTAACAAAGCTGCCAATTTTCCCATAGGAAATGAATAGGAGAAAACTTTTCAAAGAAACTGAGTAACATATGGAGCCATTTTGGTTCAACAATGCATGGAAGGCACCTATTATTACCTATTATCACCTATTATTATTATTATTAATTAGTAAAAATTATAATTAACAGCAATTACTATTAATTTTAATTATTATAAATATTAATAATTATTGATATTAATATATTATAATTATGAATATTAGTAACAATAATTATTAATACATTAATAATGTATTGATAATTATTAATATTACTAATTACTTAGTAGTGTTAATTATTAATGTTAATATTTATTATTAATAATAATTTAATAATAAATAGGCCGTCCCCATCAAAGTTTTTCCAGGAACTTTCTAGTTTCTCCTTCCTGCTCTCTCAAACCCAACTTGAACATTTTTCACGTCAAAAGTTTTAAACTTTCATTTACAAAAACGTGAGACTGTTTTAAACTCTGCAGGTGAATTCAAAACACCCTTAATTTCTTTACGTTTTACATCCAAGAAGCCAAACTTCCCAGAGGTCTTTTAAAGTTTCCATTTGAACTCCCATTGCTTTTTCTGTTCAGTCCTTGTACTGACTGTGGTATAAGAGCAGATTATGTCAAATGTGCATACAAATAGAGAAAGTAGATAGTGGGATGAAAAAATAAACAACAACTAAAGCTTCAAGAAAAGCCTGATGCTCAAACAGCAGATGAAAAGTATCAGAAAGTCTTTGAGAAACAGGAAACATCCACCAAAGACCTGAGAAATACATCCTGTCACGTTCTCTGCTAACAGCTCTTTGTTGGAACTAAAATGAGTTGTATGTGCTAAATTGTGTTATAGTTTTTAAAACATATAGTTTTAACTAAAGAAATTGGAACAAATAATGTTTTTGTGACGGGCTGCAGGCGACAAAGAGCCTAAAGATCTGATTTTAAAGGAGGTCTTTGCTCAGTTGGCTATTATGAGATGACACAACACTTGCTCTATAGGTTGGACGTAAGTGACCTAATAAAATATTTTCATTTAGTTCAGGTACAGTTCTGTTATTCTAAGAAAATAAATCATTTTTTTTAAAGAATCCTAACAAGTTTGTACAGAACATTCAGGTCATGACACGAGGGCTCGTCTGACGGGTCCCGTTGAGCCTTACCCAGACTGGTGGACTCGCTGGTGGTGAGGTTGAGGCTGTGCTGAGACAGTCCTGGACCGGGCCCCGGAGTGTGGCTCTGTGTGTGAGGGGGAGGAGAAGATGAGACAGACACCTGGGAGCCGGTCTTGCTGCCCTGACTGTCCAGCTTCAGACGATCATTCTCCGTCTTCAGCTTCTCGATCTCCAGCTGCCAAACACACGAGCAGCTCGGGTCAGTCACAAAACAGAGAACCAGTCTTAAAGTGCCTACTAATACCTGAAACACATCCATCCACCCATCCATACATCCACCCATCCATACATCCACACAAAGTACATACATTCAATATTTTCAACAATATGTTTGACGGCGCAGTGGCACAGTTGGTAGAGCTGCTGCCTCTCAGCGAGAAAGTCACTAGTTCAAGTCCCAGTTGGGGGGCTTTTTGGGTGGAGTTTGCACGTTCTCTCCGTGCATGTGTGGGTTTTCTCCAGGTACTCCAGTTTCCTCCCACAGATCAAAAACAAGCATGTTAGGCTGATTGGTAACTCTAAATTGTCTCTAGGTGAGAGTGAGAGAGTGAATGGTTGTTTGTCTCGTTTGTCTCTATGTGTCTCTGTGATGGACTGGAGACCTGTCCAGGGTGTACCCCACCTCTTGCACAGTGACTGCTGGATATGGGCACCAGTGACCCCAGCGGCCAGAAAAAGAAGAAATAGGTAATGAAAATGGATGTATGGATAGGTTTCTGCCGACCTGCATGCGGTTCATGGCCTCTCGGAGCTGGTCCAGCTGATGTGCAGAGCTGAGCGCCTCCAGACGGATATCAGTCAGCTTCATCTCCTTCTCTCTGAGTTCGCTGCGCAGCTGCATCACCATCTCCGCCTCGCTGTCCAAACACTCAGACAGTCTGTGCAAACAGGAATAAAAAAGTTCAAAGACAGGGAGAGTCTGGAGGCTGCTGCGCTGGGACCGTTTAGTGAGCAGTAACTTCAGTGTCGCAGCAGAAACTCACAGAGTGTTGGAGTGAGTGTTTCTGAGCAGGTGGCTGGTGACTGAAGCGCCGTTGTGAGGCAGCTTGGGGGAGGACGGCAGCGATGAGTCCGTCATCTCCTCGATGTCTGAATGAGAAGAAGCTGATTTGGGAGATTTCTTCTTGGTGAACGCTTGTTTGAAAGAGCTTCTCAACTGCAACAAGACAAAATAGGAATAAAAAAGAGGTCAGAAAGCGATGTTAAACGTGGTTGTGAAGAAAAGGAAGAAGGTGTGCTGGGAAAGGGTCAAAACTCAGCTGCAGGAAGGTGAACGCAAGACTGGGGAGAAAAGGAATTATGGGTAGATTGTCTTATGACAGACTTGGAGCTTCAGATCTTCACTCAAACAAGTGCAACCTGTTCTGTTTAGCTACAGCCCACGTGGCCATGTTGTGTGCTACTGTACTATACTTTGTCTAATTATCCATGAAAAAGAAAATAAATCCAGCTCAAAAAATATACAGTATCTTTGCAAATGCAACCTTTTTCTAACTAAACAGCAAAGGAAAATAAATAAAAGAGTATATACAACCAGATTTACTTTACAGTTGAACTATTTGTCTTTTTTACATCAAGCAAGTATGAAACAGCTGTAAGAAACAAAATTAGATTGGTACTAAAATAAAGTTTAGTTTATAGTAAAATAAAGTTTAGTTTATAGTAAAATAAAGTCCAGTTTGCAGTAAAATAAGGTTCAGTTTGTAGTAAAATAAGGTTTAATTTGTAGTAAAATAAGGTTTAATTTGTAGTAAAATAA